AATCTGGTAAAACCCCGTCTCTACTAAAAATATATATATTAGCTGGGCGTGGAGGTGGGGGCCTGTAATCCCAGTTACTTGGGAGGCGGAGGAGGCAGGACAATCACATGACCCAGGAGGCAGAGGCTGCAGTGAGCCAAGATCACATCATTGCACTCCAGCCTGGGTGACAAGAATGAAACTCCATTTCAAAAAAATAAATATATAAAAGTTCAAAAACTGTAAAAATAAAGAAAGGCATTGTCTATGGAGAGAGGAATTAGATGGCTGAAATAGGAAGTAGTATAAAGGCTATTCACTTTGTTAATTTTTCCGTCTCATTTGTACCTTTCAGATTTTATTCATATTAAAAAATTAATTTTAACTTTGGAAACAAAATCCTAGAGCACTGAAAGGGGAAAACGTTAGCAACTGTAGAAACAAGAAAATGCTTTGCCCTTAAGTTTATCTGTCAAATCACAGCCACTGTCAAATGGTAACGCTGTAAAGTCAGCCTATGAAGTGCTCCTCCATATCCAAACCAGGGAACTGAGAATTCCATTTGAAACCCAATGGTCTCCACGTACAATAAGAGGCATACCTTAACAAAGATGATACAGTTCTACTTCCAGGACAATAATAAATTTGTAATGTGTTTCTTAGCCTTCATTCGATAATCCAAAAGGCAGAGCACAGTTATTAACGTTTGCTATAAAGGAAAACTCACTCATTTTCATCAACTACCGGTGGCATTGTGCAAAATCCTTGCAGGTGACATGGAGAGATCGGTACAGTATGGTCACCACCCTCAAGGAGTCAACTTAGCAGAGCAAAGAGGACTTAAGACAAAAATCCTGGCTACTGCACTGTAGCTATATGATTTTGGTAAGTTACTTCACCTACCTGGGATTCTACTTTCTCATGAGGATGCCACCCAACTACCTTTAAAGGTTGCATTATAATGACTGACATATGGCCAGTATATGGAATAACAACAACAGGTATCCAATGAACGGTAGCTATGTTTATAATTATTACAATCTAATTAAAATAAAAGACAATATGCTCAAGGTTATGAAGCCAATTGAGAGCCTACCACTGGAATGCTGATAACTCAAGTTTCTAATCCAAGAAAATTCATCGTCTTTACACACCAAATAATAATAATACATGCAGGTGTTTTCGTGTGAGGACCAAGAGTCCTTAACATACCTTTGGCAAAATGTATCACTCTCTTAGGCACCAAGAAAAAGAACACTAGATCATTTTTCTCATTAACCAAGAAAGATTTTAGGTCAAGAAGTGATACATGCTGCCTGCACAAGACACCCTGGTCTTACCTAGGACCCTCTTGTCAAGGAATACATATCCAAATTAGCCAAAAAGCTAAAGCCAGTGGAGGTGTTTCCTTCAACTAATTTCCAACCTTCTTTGCCAGCAGGCATTAAATTTATTAAATTAAGTCCAAGCATCTCCTTCTAGATTAGTGGCAGAGAATTTTCTTTGTATTATTTTGTATCCTATAACCTAATTCTACCATTAGAATGGTAGACGAGAGGTGAAGCCTTGCTCGTTAGCAAGGTGACAATATTTCACACTAAATAGTTGACTTCCAGGCACTTGTGAAAGATGCACACCAAGACCCAATAATTACAATGAATAAGGCCATACTTCAAGCCTATTATACTTGAACTCTTAATTCAAACTATTCACTGTGTTCTCCTCCTCCATTCTTCCTAGGATAATGTGGGCTTGCATAAAAGGAAAAAGGCACTTATACTTAAAGACAACAGTTTACTCATATTCACATATTATCTCATGTGCATGGCTATGTCAGACAATAAGTAACACACCATATCATAATCAAACATGCAAAGTACCTGAAAGAGTGCCACCTGTCCTGGGATAGGCCACTTCAACATATACTTCAAATGTGGTCTCTGGATTCTGCCTACAAAAGAAACAGATCATGATTACTGACAAGGATCGAGGCAGCATGGTATAGAACATGTGGGCTGTGGTATTAAACAGATCTTCATTAAAATCATTAGCGCACAGCTTAATGGCCGTGGAACTTTGGAGAAGCTAATCTATTTCTCTGAGCTCATGCCTTCCTAAACTACAAAATGAAAACACCTAACCATAAGAATTACTGTAAAGCTTATAATATATATATGTAAGTATACAGGTCAGGTGCAGTGGCTCTATGCCTGTAATCCCAGAACTTTGGGAGGCCAAGATGGGAGGATCACTTGAGGCCAGGAGTTCGAGACCAGCCTGGGCAACGTAACAAAAACCCTGTCTCTACAAAAAATGCAAAAATTAGGCAGGCATGGTGGTGCACACCTGTGATGCAAACTACTTGGGAGACTGAGGTGGGAGGATCACTTGAGCCTGGGAGGTGGAGGTTACAGTGAGCTAAGATCACACCACTGCACTCCAGCCTGGGTAACAGAGTGAGACACTGTCTCAAAAATAAATAATAAAATAAAATTACACACACACACACACACACACACACACTCTCTCTCTCTCTCTCTTGTCTAGGCATGATGTCTGGCACATAATAAGCTAGCCATTACTATGGTTTTACAGATGTCATATTTCCAATTTCCAGAGCTGGATCACCAAACCCAAAGGTAGAAATTTGAGGAAACTCAGACCAAGGCAACGCCAGCACAAAGTAGCCCTTTCCTCAGTATATTCCAGGATAAAACACGAATATGACAAAACTCACCTGTGTATTTACAGGTTTTAAAGACTTAAACAAGAGGCACAGTGTACCTCACAAAACTACTGTGAAGACAAGATGCCAATCTAAATGTAAGATACTGTTTTCACATAGTTATATAACCTTGGGAAGTTCACGATCTTCAGGATTCCAATGGGCCTTCACCCGTATTGGCAATGGTTAAGTATATGCATTTTCATTATTATACTCTTTTACTTTATTTCGTAATAGTTTATAAGTTAATTTGTTTATTTATTTATTTATTTAGAGACAGAGTCTCAATCTGTTGTCCAGGCTGGAATCAATGGCACAATCTCATTGCTTGAACCTGGGAGGCTGCCTCCCGGGTTCAAGCAATTCTCCTGCCTCAGCCTCATAAGCAGCTTCGATTATAGGCACACACACACCACCATGCCCAGCTAATTTTTCGTATTTTAGCAGAGACAGGGTTTCACCATGTTGGCCAGGCTGGTCTCAAACTCCTGACCTCAAGTGACATAGCTGCCTCAGCCTCCCAAACTGCTGGAATTATAGGCGTGAGCCACCACGCCTAGTCAATAGTTCATAAATTTTTAAAAGACCACAGAACAGAATGTTAATGGTTAATTCCAGATAATAAGAGTACTGTGGTCATATTATTTTTATATTTTCTCTTTTATTTCAAAACTACCGTAAAAAGATGTTTCCAGATGAAATAAAAATCATTTAGCAGAAGAAAATGTTATACTTTCAATATATATAATTTAATCCTATTTTAAATCTGACAACAAGGATGAGGTAAGAAACTTTCTGAGTTGCCTAATCATGTCTAAGGAGTTATTTACATCAAATAAATACTTTTAATATGCCCAGTGGCATCTACTTTTCAAAATAGCAATCTCAGTTCTCTCATTTCACTGTCGTCATAATCCTGCGAAATAAGTGTGTCAGGCATTACTCTAATCATACAAATGAGCAACCTCAGGCAAAGGAAGTCTACGTGACTTGCCTAGAAACATGGCCAGGACCAGAACTCACACCTCCTATCCTCAAATCCTGTTTGACTTAATTCTAGGATGAATTTTTCCCGCACATTTTCACATCTCTTACGACCAATAGCATTTTACAATTCTAAGAGGCAGCATTTTTTTCTAATACCTTAAATAATGGTTTATATTATAAATAATGGCATCTTTCAATAAAAAAAAAAAATGGTAATACTCTCTCTACTTCCTTAGGAGGGGAAAGAAAAATGTGTGTTTTGTGAATCAGGGAACTACTTATTTTGGGGGTGAAGGACTATCATTTCTTCCCTGAAGAGAAATAGGGGCTTTTGCTTTCAAGTGCCTATAGCAAAGAGCTGGCTGCTCTAAAATCCAAGGTATTTAAATACACCTTGTCAAACAGAGTTATTTTTAAAATCAGACATTAAATCAGAGTATCTTACTTTAAAAAAAAAAAAAAAAGGAAACTGAAGTTTCAAGAGGACCTTAAAAATGGTTATGCTCTTTTTTCCCTCCAATAGGGTACGAAATGACCTTGGCATCTTTGGCACCAAATATTTGTGGAAAATACTGTATACAAACATCCCTTGCATTCAAAAGATCTCAAGGTAGAACAATCTGATGAAAGAAAGGGAAGTTCTAAGGTCATCTTTCATGAGTAATAGGCAGTATAATGTGAGAGCATCAGAAAGATTCTTCCTGAAACCTCAAAATGTCTTTCTTAAGCCTAGTTTACAACTGGCTGAATTTCATCTCAGAATTTCATTCCTTTGGATTAATATAACAGTAAAGTGTGTTCTTCAGGACCCTAGGACTTCATGGAGGTTCTTTAGAGTTTCCCACATTTTTACTCGTTTCCATTTTAAATGTATTTTTATGCATTTTAAAAATTGAAATAAAATAAGCATGCAAAGGTGTTATATACAAACTTTAAGACACAGGGATGGCAACACATTACCCTGTGACACAGGGTGTTTTGTACAGCCCTGCTACCTCAGTGAAAAACGGCCTAATGGTATATATACTCATTGCTGCTCCTTCCTTTCTCGATCACACTCCAAACAAGATTCTGAACCCACCACATCACTGAAACAACCTGGTCAAAGTAACTACAGACCTCTCCATTACTAAAATGTATTTAAATGCTCAATTCCCAGTGCTCATCTTACTTAGCCTCTCAGGAGCATTTGATAGTTGATCCATTTGCCCTCCTCCTTGAAAGACTTTCTTCCCTTGCCTTCCAGGATGCTGCTCTCTGTTGGTCCTCTTTCTACCTCACTGGCTACTTCTCTGCTAATTCCTTCTCAGGTCAGCTCTCCTACTGCCTCTGTCTCCACTCAAGACTTAGATGAGCTCATTCAGTCTCCAGGCTTTCATTACCATGCAGACAAGCCCCAAAGTCATGTCTCCAACCTGACTACTTTTTCCCTGACTCCGGACTCCCTTATCCAGCTGCCTACTCAACATCCCCACTTTGCCAGGCATGGTGGGGGATGCCCAGCTCTGGAGAGGCTGATACAGGAGGACTGTTTGAGGCCAGGAGTTTGAAACCAGCCTGAGCAATATAGCAAAACTCTGTCTCATTAAAAAAAAAAAAAAAAAAAAAAAAAAACCTCAAAAAAAAAAAAAAAAAAAAAAAAAAAACCCTTAAAAAAAAAAAAAAAAAAAAAAAAAAAAAAAAACCTCTTTGAACATCTAAGAAGCATTTTTAATTTAATGTACCATATTTTTCTCCCTCAGACCTGCATCTCCGGAACTCTACTAGTTGCTGAAACTAACAAAACTTAATGTCATAATTGACTCCCCTGTTTCATATGCCACAGTCAACCAGTCAGCAAATTCTACTGATTCTACCATTAAAACATATCAGAATCTCAATGCTTCTCAGCACCCCCAAATACAACCATTCTCAATAGATCACCATCATAGCACCTTGATTACTGTAACACCCTCCTGACAGGTCTCCCCACTTTCTTCCTTGTCCCTCTAGAGTCAGATCTCAAATTTGACAGCCAGTAATCCTTTTATTCTGAAGTTCTGGTTATGTCACTTCTTTGCTCAAATCTCCTAAAAGCTCCCCACATCATTGAAAATCAAGTCAAAGTTGTAGTCCTGGAGCTGGACACTGGTAATGGTTGCCCCACAATATGAATGTACTTAATACCACTGAACTGTACACTTGAACCGTGGTTAAGATGGGAGTCTTATGTGAATTTTGCCACAATTTAAACAAACATGCAAACAACAACAACAATAAAACAGGGTGGCAGTCCTTAGCAGCATCTACAAGGTCCTACATGACCTGGCCTCTGCCACCTATCCAACTTCATCTCATACCTCTCTCCCCTCGCCCAATGAACTCCACAATGACCTTCTTCCTGCTCCTCAAACACACCAAAGTCCCACCTTAAAGTCCTTTATATTGACCTTCATACAGGTGGCCCTTCTTGGCATTCGAAGCTCAGCTTATAAGTGACCTCCTCAGGAAGGCCTTCCCCAACACACACTCTATCACCTAATTTTAATTCTCCACATTATACCTGTCACAATTTTGGTTTACAGTCAGTTTCCTTTCTCTAAATGTAAGCTGCTAAAGAGCAGGGATCTTGTCTATCATGTCAAGGAGTGTTTCCCTGGTGACTGGCACACAGCCAGTGCCACCTAAATGTTGGGTAGAAGGAATAAAGAAAAGAGTTGCCTGCCTGAGGTCTAAAAGATTTCAATAAATGATGGGTGTGATCATCCAGTTCCAAGATTCTCAAACTTCACCATGTACTATAATCACCCGGAGGGCTTAACTAAAAGATTTCTATTCCCATCCCCAGAGTGTCTCAGGTAGGACCCAAGAATTAGTATTTCTAACTAGTCTCCAAGTCATCCTGATGCTGCTGGCCCCATGACCATACTTTAAGAACTACCAGTTAAGGGGAAATTCTTCCAAATAATTTAGAATATACATCATAAACGTAGGGGATACCACAATAATCCATTATTTCAATAGTGCTTTTGCAATAAAAGATAATTTCAAAGAAAAAAGGCATTTGTAGAAACAAGGAAAGTTATTCCTTTCTTCTACCACTATCCATAGTTACTGCCTCACTCTAATGAGTCACAATAAAGCCACCTTAGATTCTTACTTAGTTCAAACAACTGGCAGAGTTCTGTTCTGTTACATGGAGCCAAGGATGATTATGACAGTCTCAAAAAAAAGAAAAAAAAGCTGACTAGAATGCTAAA